GAGTTCAGACACTCTTCTCCTTTCCGTCATTGATTTTGCGAACGGTTGGCGCCATCGCATATCCGTAATTGCCGCCGGAAGATAAAAAGGGTACGAAGATTCTTGATGGCCACGTGAATACGTTTCGGGAATACGTTATTTCTGCTTGGCCTTCTAAGGTCTGCTTTTTCATTTTTTTGTTAAATTGTGGTTTAAACTTAATTTGACTTTAACTTGATAATATAAATGTTTTATAAATATGATGGAGAACGCCAATAATCGGTCAAAGTTAGATGTTATGAATACAATATATATATTCTTAATTTTAAATTTAATTATCTCAGATATGATTGTGCGTGTGATGATATTATAAATATTTTATTTTTCTAGCTATGATTAATCACTATTATCTTAATACTCATTACAAAATCATCAGTTTAGTGATTAAAAGTACCTAAACTAGAGAAAAATACAATGTTTACATATACGTGCTAAAGATTTTTACTTTCACATATTTATTTGTTTTGTTACTTATCGATGCACTGTAAAAAGTAATGTGTTTTATTCTTGTCCTCATGTTTCAAATCTGTCTATTGAAAAAGTTTAAAACTAAAATATTTGTAAGTGTTTAAAAAATGGAGACTAGAATAAAACATTTTAAAATTGTAAAATTAAACACTTCTTTTTTCAGTGTAATCTATTCTATTAGGGCAAAACTGCGTTTCATCGCGTTCGGAGAGAGCGCTGTCAGCATTATTGTCATTCTAATCTACTTCATCGTGCATTAGACAAGAATAGAATAATGCAATAGCGCTAATAGCACTCTCTCCGAACGTAGTCTATGTACGGCTCTCAGGATATATTGCAATTTTTAATGTGGTAGATTCATGTCTTGTTCGTCCCGTATAAAAAATGTTGACTGGGATTTGTAACGCGCATAGCTGATATTTAAATTGGATTATTCCGAACAATTATACATATTTCAATCGGTTCGTCTAAACGATTTTGTGATGTCATTCAATCCCAGAGAAACCAATTTCAAACGGTAGCCCATACTGGTCTAAATTGTGGATAGGAGCGATGTTTTCAATCGAAAAATTGATTACATCCGGCGACCGCGACTTGACGTATACAGGCAAAGACAGAAGCGGCAAAGACATACGTCATTTTTGTGAGTGATCTTTCTAGGGTTGGCAAACACACTCGGGTTACTTTGAGAGCTCTCAGGTTGATTACGAACGGCTCCACAACTCGTCGTGAAACGCTTTCTCGCTTTATTGCGGCAACGTATGTCCATTGAGTTGCCACGATTCGATAAATTTATCCTTCGTCGATTCCGGGACTCTTCGCTTCAGCGAAAACGGTTACGAGAGCGAGAGATAATATTTTCTTTTGCACCAGTACGGCCGTTAATTCTCAAATTGAGAGAGAAAGATCAAGAAAAAGAACGGAAGAAAGGCGATCGGTGCGATGGGGCGCAAACCGCACTAATGTCTCGTCATTACGTTACCTCGGGCGAGTTAATAATTCCGCAATCACCAAAGAGAGACGCCGGTGGTTATCGCGAGCCGGATAAATTACCTATGTCAGTTACCCAGGCCCAGAGATTTCAGGCCACGGTATTCGGTAAACAGGTCTCCCGCGCGCGGCATGTAATTTTCCCTGATCATAATAACTACCCTCTAACGAGAGGGTAATTTCGAAACGGCTCGTTCGTCATGTCTCCCTTTCTCTCAGTTGCCATAATTTGACGTCTCGCGCGCATTGTTTTCCTCTCGCCCACGGAAAGAATAAATAAATATTTACCGCAGCGACCAGACTCATTAGGAGACGCTACCGATGACGGAGATCTACATTGAAAAGGAGATCTACGTCCCATGCATCCCGGTTGCGAATTTTCAATGCGGCGCCAACCTCTCGACGTGACATCGAGTCCAAGACCGTTTCTTTTCATTGTCTTCCGAAGCTTACGGACGTTTTTGTATTTTGTTGCCTCGTCCATGAAATCTATCTTCTTTCATTTCACCGCTCGTCGTTTGTGAAATTCGTCTTTGTGCCTGACCACGTCGTCAGAAGATTTCTGACTCCAACGAAACACTAGCTGTTAACGAAGTATCTCGATGAAAAGGTTATTTCTCCGTCGGTCGAATGTACGGGGAAGCATCCGAAGGAGAACGCATCCATCACTCTGACTTGTCGCATCTCTGGATGCACGGTTGACAAATGATTTGACATAAGTACAATAGCGTAAATGGTGCTTGAGATGTTTCAGACGAAGACCATGAATTTCTGGTTGCATGATTTAAAGTTGAAGTACATTTGATCTCTGACTCCGTAGACATGAGAAGAAATGTTTTTTGCGCCAATCATTGCCATTGTCGTAAATAAATGTATTCACTCCCGCGGATCTTTGCATAAAAATCTGAGAACTCATCGACGATAATAATACTGATTTCTTTATGCGCTTAGCAGTAGTTTCGAATTGTCGGAATTGCCCCGAGGACAGACTTCGCGAGCATCAGCGCTGCAGCTTCGCGGAATCAGCATTTCCCGCGTGGTACAGCACGTCAAAAGCAGCGCTAAAAGTTATGTCGATTGGCCGCACGCCAGCCGACGATTTCGCGCTGGCCGATATCCCCCGATAAGATCAGCGAAATTGCGCGGCGACGTCGAAACCGGGTACAATATTCATGCTGTACTGTGGGCACTACCGGATGACAATCAATTATGATCCCGAGTAATAGTTATCCCGAGCCACTACCGTACAATCGGCGCAACACACTCGAAATATTTATCGACATAATTAAAATCAGCAGTGAGTATTTAACAGCCACTAAAATGTTCTGGTGTATAAATAAGTCGCAAATTAGCATTTTACGACATATCCCGTCGGTTACTTATGCCCATGTCGCACTATCTATTGGAGATTGAGAATTGCGAATTAAAGATTAGAATTTGACCAATTAGATAATTTTAATTTTAATCCATTTCGTTTTAATTGGTTGAATTCTAATCCTCAATTTGCAATTCTCAGTCTCCAATGCGTAGTGTGATATAGGCTTTAGGAATGTGCGATCTCCGGATTGATTCGCTAAAAATTGTTTTTTTTTTTAAATAAAAAGTTAATTTTAAAATAGCCCTCTTTGTAAAAAAAAAATCCCTTTAGATCTTGTGTATATTTTATTAAATTTGAAAACATTTCCGTTGAAATTATTTAATCCTGTCGATATCTGAGATCAAACGTATAGAATAATGCTAAAAAAATAGTCAACATTTTGAAAAAAATTATTTAGTAATAAATTACTTATTAAAGTGTGTATTAAAAATAATATATAAAATAATTATATTAATATATAAAATAATATATCAAATAATTAAATAAAATTAAAATAATGAGAATAAGGCTACAGGCCAAGCAAGGTCTTGATGCTATATATTATTAAAAAACGAACAGTTTATTAAAACATATATTTTGACTTTAATCGGATAATTCTCAACGTTAAAACGATAATGCAATTTAAATTTCAAACGGAAATAACTAATTATTCTCTGTTATAAAAACATATAACGTTATTATACGAACAAAAAATTATAAAAACATTAACTAAATCCGTCGCTTTGATTGTGAAATATGCTCCAGATACTGTAAGACAATCATTGACGACAAAGCGATTTAATATTGTATCTGGAGCGTATTTCACAATCAAAGTGATAGATTTAATCAATATGTTTTTATAATTTTTTGTTCGTATAATTATGTTATATATTTTTATAATTTAGAGTTATTAGAATGATTAATGAATTCCGTTTGAAATCTAAATTGCGTTCTAACATTGAAAATGACCCGATTGGAGTTAAAACGTATGTTTTAATAAACTGTTTGTTTTTTAATAATATAGTATCAAGACTGTTTGGCTCGTAGCCCCATTCTCATTATTTTAATTTTTAAAGTGTCTTTAAACTGAATGAAAAATAATTTTTTAACATGATTCCAATAAAATTAGATGAAAGGGTTAAAATAGATCCTTTTAGTTATAAAAGTTAATTTTTTGCAAAATAGATCGATTAAAAATCGTTATTATCATTTCGAAAGATCAATCTTTTGGAGGTCGAATCCCTACAGTCACCCGGAGGAATTTCGCATCTGCAATTCTTTCTGCGATTCCTTTTGCCTCCTTCGCCGCTTGCAAAATCCAACGCCGCTGCGCCGCGCCTGTATTGTACGACTCGTTCCTATTCGTGCTCTTAATAGGAGCGCGTCCCGCAAAGGTAAGGCTTCTCCTCGAGAACTCGCCACGGCCAGTTTTCATGCGAGTCGAAGAAACTCGAGAAAGTGGACGCGAGGTTGCATGCGAATCAAGTTTACCCGATTCCGCCGTATTTTGTTTTAGAGATTGCAAATTTCTTATTTGTACTGAACTGGCGGAAGAGTCTCGATAACAAAAAAACGGAAAGGATGCTCATTAGCATCAGATTATGAATATCTTTCCTTAGATGCTTATGAGCATCAATATTAAATTGCTTTAATTTGTGATATTACTATTCTAGTTCTGCTAGGATCGTGTTTCAAGACTGAAAGTTAAATTCGACGCGTAGTTTATAGGATTTGATACATAAATTCATACTAAATTATTTAAGCTTGATCGTTTAAGGTTTTCATTTCTTAGTTGTTGTGTATTCACATTACGGTCTTATAAGATATTTTGTTTTAACGTTAGAAAAGCAAAAATTTATATCAAGCTGAACATCGTTTCTCTATTTTTTGTTCTGTTTGCAATAAAATCAAAACAATGGCTGTGTTCAGCAAAAAAACAGCTTTACAACTGTTGTAAAATTCTTGAATATGATTGGTTTATACGTTTAGATCCATTAAGAAACTAAGAGCAAGACCAGTCATATTCCAAAATTTTACAACAGTTGAAAAGCTGCTTTTTCTGCTGAACGCAGCCATTGGTGTCGATAAATTGTCGATAATTAGTAGAAGCAGCATTAGGAACATATCTATGTATTACGAAATTTACCTTTGACGTTAAATAGCCGTTGCCGAGCTTCGAGATTGGGCTGCACCACAGCGATTAGAATCTGGAGCATGAATAGACACCGCATGATTGGCACTGAATCGAACATGTTTCTTGCTAACGAAATGCGATCTCCTTGATGTCTGCCGATGTTCCCCTTTATTCTGGAACACACACGTCGTGTAACCGCAACATGAGTTTCTCGTTAAATCCTCTCATCACACAGCAATTGGGTCATTTCCGCGATTTAAGATTACGAATTAAAGCTTTGTGTTGAGCTCGAAGAATGTTCCGTCAACGGCGTAAAGCATAGAAAGATAATTTATGAAAAGTACTTGATTAAACTCTCTTTGACCGTGACATGGGAGAAAAAATTCTAAAGGTTGAAACGAGAATTCACTCTTTCTCTCTCTCTCTCTCTCTCTCTCTCTCTCTCTCTCGCTCCCTCTCTCTCTTCCTCTCTACGAGAATGAAAAGGTTAAAATATTTTCATCTCCGTCCTTTCCTCTGGATAAAAAGTTCCTCCAATGAGAGAATGGGGTAGAAAATCAGTTTCGTCCTATATTTTCTACGTGCCAAGCTCATGCTCGGATATAACGTACCTCATACGATTTTCTCGTGCACGCCGAGCTATCTCAGAGCCGTTCATGGCGACGCTCCCTAGTTTCGATAATTGGAATTCGTTCAACCATACCGTGCCGATGATCGAGCTCGACAAGCTACTGGATTCTTCTATTCGAGTTAAACGTAGAACTCGTCTCGGAATATGACTCTTACGTATTTCGCTGACAATAGAATCATAGCTCGCGGCGTCTCTCGGTAAGGCAAATTGAACGATAATGCTGTCGATGAGATTTTTTTCAGAAATTTAGAATTACGCTAAATCGTGATCGTAATCTCGACCACATGCGAAGAATGTCATTTACATCGTGCAATGCAGATTTATTCCTGAATGATCTATCAAATGTAATAATTAACACTTGTGTTCACTCATCGCTACTATCTGATATTGATCTGACGTTAGAAGCGAGAAAACACAACAAAAATTCTTGCAAATTAAATTTGAATAAAAATATTTTCCATTTGAAACACACATTTGTAATCGATAGAACAGACCCATAGAATGTATCGAAAACTATCTTGTTATTTTGGAAAGAACTTAAATCATATTTATTTCTTCGTATTATAATTTTATTTATTTATTTCTTAATTTATATTTATATTATTAATTAGACAAATTTATCATAGCTGTGAATATTGTTTATTTCTTCGTCTTTGATTATTCATGATTTATTTCAAACTATACGATTATTTATGAATTAACGAAATAAAAGGAGAATTTCCGATGTAGATATTTTACAAGTCAATTCTGTCGATTGTAAGTGTTGTTTTATTAAAACATATTTCCATATTAATATATTTTGCAAGAATTTTTATTATGTATTTTCCCGCTTCTGACGTCATAATCTGAGATAGTAGTGATGAATGAATGGAAGTTTTGACGTCAGTGTATTTTAATTTTTAATCAATATTGTTCGAACGTATAGATATGACGTGTCGAGGGAGATTTCGTGACAAGACTCGTTTATATGTATATAATAGTTTTTTGATAACTAGATAATTAATATCAACTAGAGGCCTTGTAATATATTCTCGGCAAAGTACACGAATATCGCATAAGCTGCACGTCGGCTTAATCCGCACGAGTAGCTTGTGTTCTTCTCAAGTACTTCCACATAGAAACCAGATCCGATGCTTTATGAAAGCGCAGGAGAGATTCGTAGCCGGGATGATGAGTTGGGTGGGAGAAAGTCAAAACGAGTTCATTAATACGACGCGGAATTAGTAATTAGCTTTGCATGTATCTATCAACCAGAACGCAAATAAGCTTTGCGTGTATGAGCGAGGAAATTGACGGGATTGTCGATGAATATTAATCCATATTGAATGGGATGAGAATATCGAAGTATATTTTAATAATTGTGCCATTGAAAGAACTAGCGATAAAAGTTATATCCACTTTGCGAAACGAGAGAATATTCATGAATGTGTACTTAACTTAAATTCCAACTCTTTTTACCATAGTACTCTACGGTGCTATAAAAAGTAAAAAAAGAATGTTAAGTTTTATATTATTTTAAAATTAATACGCGCGTAACGAATTAATTGTAACATCGTCGGCTGTAGAAACGCAAGTGCAGTATTACGATAATAAATTGATATGACGCTTTCTAAATAGTATTACAATTTATGTTTCGGAATTTCGGGCGCATGGCATTTTTTAAAAAGTATTAATTGACGCTGTTTCGAATTTTCGCTGTATTCTCCATTTTCGAAATAAGCGCGAACGTTTGCGACGCGCATATTACAAGCATTCGCGTAGTCGTATACTCGACTCGATTGTATGCCGTGTCAGTAACAGACGTAACCACTTACGGTACAACCGCGGAATATTAATAAACGGGGCGTAGGTTTTAAAGCGTCTCGCGTCATCTCGATTGAGTTATCGCACCTGTAATACGCATGGGATGAGGACACCGGTGTAGATTAATGGCACGAGTGTCATTAGAAGACGGTGCGTGAATCTATGATGAATAAACACGCATTCCGTGCGCGGTCCTTACACATGTCTTTAATTGATGTTCAGCCGGAAGTGGGCGGCATCTCTGTATCTTGAATAAATATTTATTTCCTCGTAAGAAAGAGGAAAACTCAACTAAGAAAATAGACGAAGGTATCTCGTGTGAGGTATCTCGTTTCAGTGGCTGTGTTGAAACACATATAGGTAATCGCACGTGAAGATACCGAAGCTCGGGAAAAGGTGCGAGAAAGCGAATAAATAAATTCTAAAGTCGCTCGAGTGAGATTAATTCCTACAGGCGTATCGACGTTTACAGCCATCAAAATTTTAAACGTTGACGTAATTAATATGGCAACTCACCCAGTGAGCGACTTTGAATTATACGAAGCCGAATGATCTCACGATTATTACATGAGTTCATGTAAATGCTCTTTTTTTTTTAACATGAAACGTTTTCCACCGTGCTACGAAAAATGCCGCCGACTACGAGATCCATTAATCTTACGCTTTTCAAGAGCTTTACGCTTGTCGGTTCTCGAATTACATGCGTTTGCATTAATCGCGCTCTCATTTATAATAATAAAGAAAGCTTAATTAATATCGATGAGCCGAAAATTCTGTTAGACAATATTGTCGCTACTGTGAATAATATTGAAATCGTCATAATCCTATCACAATTCATTGTCATAATCTGATCATTCAAGAAAAATCTTTCTTTCTTTCAGATACTATCATGTTGAATAATTACGCCTATGTATTTTGAGTTATCAAGTTATTAAATCCATAATACATTTTTGCAAACCTCAAGCGTACAACTTGGACAATAAATTAAGCGGCCACATAATAAATTTCTATTCCTGCGACAGCTATCGCGTACGCTTCGCATTGCGATATTTTACTCATATTTTACAGAATAAGAATGCGCGGAGATATTTATGTGCGTGTAACACTGCAATCCAACAATTTCGCGCGAATGCGCGATTTATGCCATTAAAATTTTCTAAAAATATCTATCAACATAAACGGATTACCAGTGAATGTTTCGTCGGTATGTAAAATATTTAAATATGACTTACTCGGCTTGCTCGGACATGAAAATGAAGCTACGCTGGTAAAAGGATACATATGTATCCTTTTACCAGCGGAGTATTCTTTTGTTCGTCGAGTAATGGATCGAAAATAGTATAAAAAATGTTATTTCTTTCAAATTAATTACGTACATTTATTTAATTTCACGGGCATAATTACATGAGCTTTCATGACATCATATGTTTCATATAGGAAAAGAAGATTATATATTTCGAAAATTACAAAAATATTAATGGGTTATTGGAGTATTAGAGACGCTTTTTATATAATATGTGAGATAATAGCTATTCATTGTATTCTTTATAATAATGGAATAATCTGAGAGAGCAGAACATTGAATAATAGAAATATACATATATTTAATTCTCAAAACACAGCGATTTAAAAAAGAAAAATTTTTATTATGTTAAATAAATGAAAATTAATTTTGAAATTTTTTACAGAAATGTAATCTCGTATTCTCTACAATGTGAAATTATGAAAATATTTCCATGTAAGAGTCTATTTATAAAATAGAATTGTTCTATATAAACTGTAAATATGCTCGAATAATACACGGTATAATTGTAGCGTGAAAGTGCGCGCGTGACTCTTAATTAAGGGCACGACGATCGAGATAAAAATGTAGGAAAAGTTCATGGTACTGTAACTTCACATTAGCTTATTTAAACGAGATGCTAGAAGTTTTTATATTTAGTAATGTCTTTTGCGTAGGTAGAGTAATTAAATAAAATGAAATAATTACTAGATTTATTCGCTGCATTTTTCAACGTTATGAGTTATTCTCTTTATTTATGCAAAGGATATGATTTAATTCCTTTATTCATTATATTTTAGTCATATTTTTATTCATACAACACAACAACGATAAAAATATTTTCTAAATCTTTATTCGGAATTCACACAGCAAAAGTATATGAAGTTAATTTTTTGTTAAACGTTCACATAAAGTTAACCGTAGCGTATTTTGTAATTTTACTAAATATATTACTTCCATATGATGTTTATAGAAACTTTTTTTAGTAGAAAACGTCACGGACAATTACTCATAAATGTAAAAATGTAAATGTAAAAATTATTAAATAAAACCATTAAATTTTTTAATAGATTTTTTTATCCGCAAGTAATTTTTAAATAATTTTTCACGATCGAAAACTATGAAGTTTAAAAAAAAATTGTGAAACACGCTTGGTGCTAACGATAATTTAAGCATCAACGAGTCGTCCTCGTGCTGATCGTGAGAAGCGATGGTACCTGTCCGTGTATAGCCCTCTCCTTAACGATTTAATAATTACGTGGCTCTCTTCGGAGAGTCGAAACAAGTCTCTCATTAACTGCAGCGTAATTTGTTGACTTTCGATTTGATATGCAACTCCTCGAACGCTCTGACATACCGCGCCGCCATTGGGTTATCATTATCATGATACGTGTAACAACATAATGACGTAAGAGTGAGTCCATTTTCTGCATCCGGCAGTTTGT